CAAAAAAAAAAAAAAAGGAGAATGGGTGATAAGAAAACAGAAGGAGAGAGTGGGTGATAGAGACTATGAGTGACAGAGAAAGGGGGAGGGGGCAACAGAGGGACATAGGTGGGGAAGATGAGAGACAGAAAGAGGATGGGATAGCAGAAAGAACAGGTGGATGGCAGAGAAAATGAACAACAGTGTGAGTGCATGCATGAGAGTGGGAACAGGTGGGTGAGAGAGAGAGCTAAGTGACAGTCAAGAGAAGAGGGTGATAGATGGCAGACAGAGATAATGGGAGAGAGACTGAGATAGTGAAATAGATTATGAGTGCCAGAGAAGTGTGAGAGAGTAGGTAATGGAAAGAGAATGTGTGCCAGAGGAGAAGAGTGGACATCACAGAGGGGAGGACAGGCAGAGTACGGTGGCTCACACCTGTAATCCCAGCACTATAAGAGGCAGAGCCAACAGGATTGCCTGAGCCCAGAGATTCAAGACCAGCAACTTGGTGAGACCTCGTCTTTATAAAAAATTATCCGGGCATGGTAGTGCATGCCTGTAGTTCCAGCTACTTGGAAGGTTAAGGCAGAAGGATTGCCCAAGGCCAGCAGGTTGAGTGTGCAACTGTACTCCAGACTGGGTGACAGAGTGAGACTATGACTCAAAGAAAAAAAAAAGAGAGAGAGGAGGATAACAGAGAGCAGGAGTAAATAGGGGACACAAAGAGCACAAGTGGGCATCAGAGTGAAAGTGTGGCCAATAGAGGAGCTAGACAAGCAGGCATCACTGAGGGAAAGCTTCTGGATGTGATAGATGAAGGGGTGTGAAAGAAAACATGTGCAGAGTGTGTCACAGCAAGTTTTAGGGTTTTCTTTCAATGTTTACACAGCAGAGACAGAGATGGGAAAGAACAGGGCCAGAAGGGGAGAGGGAGGGGAGAAGAAGGAAAGAAAAGACATAGACATTACGTGAGCGAGCAGGATTGCGCTAAGAGCAGAATTATGAGTAATGAAGAAGGGGATACTTTGTTTGAAGGGGAAAGATGTGAGGGGATGGATCTGTAAGAGAAAAGAAGAAATTGAGAAAGATTAGGAAGAACGAAAGAGGGAATGTGAGAGCTCCGGGATCGTGAGACATGAAGAGATCATGAAAGCTGGGTTCAGCCTGTAATCTCAGCACTTTGGGAAGCCGAGGCAAGTAAATGCCTGAGCCCACGGGTTCGAGACCCACCTGGGCAACTTGGTGAGACCTAATCTCTACAATAAATAAAAAATCAGCCAGGGGTGGTAGGTGCACGCCTGTAGTTCCAGCTACTTGGAAGGCTGAGGCGGAAGGCTTGCCGGAGCCCAGCAGGGCGAGGCTGCAGTGGCCGGGAGCGTGCCACTGCCCTCCAGCCTGGGCGCCAGAGTGAGACTCCAACTCAAAAAAAACCCAAAAAAACAAAGAGACCATGAGATATGGGAATTGTGAGAGGAAGAAAGGAATTGAGGGGAGGAGGTGATTGTTTTGGGGAATGGGAGACAGGAATTGCTTGAGAATGTTACCAGAGAACTCATGGGCTCCAGTGAGACACAAGTGTCAGTGTAAGAGGCACAGTGAGCCGGGCTTGGTGGCTCAGACTGTAATCCCACGCCTTTGGGAGGCTGAGGAGAGTGGATTGCCTGAGCCCGCGGGTTCGAGACCCGCCTGGGCAGCAAGACCTCATCTCTAATAAATCAAAAAATCAGCCGGGCATGGGAGCGCATGCCTGTAATTCTGGCTACTTGGAAGGCTGAGGTGGAAGGATCGCCGGAGCCCAGCAGGTCTAGGCTGCGGTGACCGCGAGAGGCCACTGCACTCCAGTCTGGGCGACAGTGAGACTCCAACTCAAAAAAAAAAAAAAGGTTAAATGCTCATCCCACCAACATCACGCCCCCCCCCCCACCCTTAGTCAATCGGTAAATGCTTACTCATTTTTCAAAACATAGCTCAAATATTTCCCTCTTTTGTGAGGCCTTCCCCCAGCTCATGGACACTTGAGTTGGCCGTTCCCTCCTTTATGCCCACGATATGCCCAGCACATTATGCCTCCTTCAGCACTTATCAAAGTGTTGAACATTATAGTAATTATCGGTTTACGGGTCCGTTTCCATTACTAGATTATAAGCAATTCTGGGGCAGGGACCAGAGTACATCTCTGTATCCTCTAGGCCTGAGGCTTGGTAGGCTGGAAAGACACAAGAAGGGATTGGTTAGCTGAAGTTCTGGTTTTCCAAAAGCACATACGGGAGGATTATTTGCCCAAAAAAGGTGTAATCAAGGGCTCCCCAGGCTTTAAAAATCTGACCAAACACCCAGAGCTGATTCTCACGCTCTACTCCGAAGAGAGCGCGGGCGCGGGTCTCACAAGGCTCCGCCTCAGTAGTTTGGGTCCCTGGGGAGGGGTCCGAGGGCCACTTCACCTCCACCCCGGGCCAAGGCCTGCGAACTAGACTCGCCCGGCGGCCCAGACATACCTCAGGTAATGGGCAGCCTGCTCTGGGCTTAAGGCCTCCGCTTCCACAAGCCCTCGGGACGCCTCCATAGCCCTTGGGTTCCAGTAGTCTCGGCGGGAGTCTAGAGCTTGAATTTCGCTCGCTCCGCCCCGCGCATGCTCCGCACGCATGTGGAGGGACGAGAGTCAACCGTCCGTCTCGCGGCCGGCCAATCCGCAAACACGCGTTTCGACGCCACTGTCCGAGTCCCGCCCACGAGGGCGTGCGCCTGCGCTTACGCACGCCGCCCCTAGGAGTTGATAGCCGCTTGCTAGGCGCAGAGCGAGTTGCGTCATTGTGTAGTCTCTCGCATTTTTCAATCCAGTGTAATCCACGCTGCGGTGAATTCGTTATGTTCGCTTGTGCTGTCCTTGTGAGTGGAGAAGTTATTTTTATTTTATTTTATTTTTTTGAGTTGGAGTCACTCTGTCGCCCAGACTGGAGTGCAGCGGCCGCTCCCGGCCACCGCAGCCTCGAC